TTTTTTTTTGCTAAAATCTCGTTCGTATTAGAAACGCGTTTACACACCGTTCACATACTCCGTGCTTCTCGTCACATTTAAAATACTACTATTACTTTGTATATTACTATGTTCATTATTTTAGTCATTATATTATTTATCACCTGATGTTCCTATCTACTGTTTAAAGTATATGATGCTACGTCATACTACTTTAGTATTATGGGTTTGTCATAGTAGATAAACAAACACTCTTAATACACTATTTGCCGAATTTTTTGCACGTTATTATGAACACTGTAATTTTATATATCGCTTATGCGTAAATTTTTTTATATGTATTTTTTGTACATTTTTGACCATTTCTATTCATAAGCTCCATTTAGAAATAGTTGCGTCTATTTGGTACAGTTTCTATAGCTAGTTTTCCCTGTTTGCTAAGCAGGTCACGTTTGCACACTTTTTTGTCGAAAGTCAATCATATTCTAGTGGCCATACCATCTTTTGCCATACTCACATCTGCTGCAATCCGGCACTCTCTTTTACCAGGATAATGATATCGCTAACATGAAATAATACAGATGTTTTAAAAATAATTATTCTCCTTCTTAGTTCATATTTTATTTTTGCATATAAACCTCGTTCATATATTTGCCTTAGTACTATTTTTATATACATGACGAACAGCGACATTAAACATTGCCATCTATGTTCAGTCAGTTTTGGTAATCAAAAGATGCGTAATCTAAATTATCTACATTTGCGATTATACTTTATTGGCTCGAAAAAGTATCGAAAATAGAATACTTTACTAACTATACATACCTCAATAATCCAATTCTTGTTGCCCTTTCAAAGTAATCCTTATTGCTTTCAATGCTTCTGCTAAAACAGTTTTTGAATTTAACCTCAGTTCTGCTATGGTTTTTTAGATTTTTTTCCTGAATCATGTCTAAACGTTTTCCTTTCCTGTAGTTCCTTCCGATGGGATTTGGGAATGGTAAAAGTCACAGAGGGATAGATCTAGTAAATTCAGGGGTCGGAATTACACATGCATCGGGTTTTTCTACAAAAGGGATGACATAAGTGGCGACGCGTCGGCGGTACTTTATTGTGGTACTCAATCTGCGACTTGTCCTTCGAGTATTCAAAGCATTTGTTCGGGGTATAGGATTACACAAGCTTTTTAAAAGCTTTCGGCATGACCTATGACAGCAGAACTGCTCCGCACGAATTCATAATATGCAACTCGTCAAACGACGGTGAAAAGAAACGTAGTTTTTTTACCCTCGTGCTTGAACCTTTGGTCTAGTTCGCATTGAAGCGATACTCTGACGATTGTGCTTTGCGCCTTTAAAAAATGAAGCACGGCAGAAAATCACTTATATTCCCGGCTTGTGATTGGCAGAGGCAAGCAAGTGTAACACCATCTGATCACGGGCCGACCTTCAATCAAAAAAACATCGGGCGTTTCATTAATATTTCTTTGACACAAAAATATTTATAATCGTATATTTCTTTAAGTAAATTCTATACATCCTAACTTGGAACCACTTGCCCCATAACTGTTAAAAAATGAACTACTCCCATTCGCAAATGTTCGTTAATTTATTATTTACTTAATTTAATGATCGTTTGAATGTTTGAAACTTATTTGTAATATGAGAGCTGCCTTAACAGTCTAAAGTGGGTTGAGTCATAGCAAATCTATTGCTGTATTGCTACTTAGCTACTTAGATTCGGTAACTCGTTACGAAGTACATTCACCATTTTTTAAGAAGGCGGAGCCCTTTTTCCAGGCCTTGTCGGACATTGACAATGGACTTCCTGCGGCATACCTATTGCTGTACTATCAAGAACAATAATACATTGCATGATGGTGTCTTCATGATCGTCTATATTTTTTTACTTAGTATGCACAGTACGCATATGCCCGTCAAAGCCTTGACAATCTTGGCCGTATAGGTCTTAAATATACCGTAACTTATATCTATGCCACGTAGTAAATTAGCTCTCCAAACAAATCGGAGATACTACTCCCCGAGGTCGGGGATAAACGAAAAATAGTCTAAGTTTTGCTTTATTCTTGCCCTATATCCATTGATGTTACCATTTGAAAGCGTTATTTCTCTGATTGCGCTCGTGTCAAACAGCTCGTTTATCCATTACTAGGCCTTTCCGTCAGCTAATAAATGCAAAGATCGCATTTTGGGACGAGTTAGATTAGCTCCGCCTGTATAGACACCGTTTCTACGCTCCTGCCACCCTAGTGGCAACTGTTCTCTGTGCGATCATCGGGATGCTCCTTTCCTAAATGCGAAATCACTATTCTTCAAAAACTCTCTTGGTTGAATTATTGTGAGACAGAATAAGTCAAGAATTCTTGCTACTGCTTGGCCATCTTCTCTAAGTCCGGTACTCGACCTTTTCATATTTTTTTTGCCCCAGTTTTTTCAAAAGTTTACTTCCGAAATTCAAAATGCCTGACAATAGTCATATGACCGAAGTCTATCTTTGCAATCACTTCATAAATTCTTTGGCAGCACTCTATTTCCAAAAGTGCTTTCAAAAGATACCTTTTGATCAGTTTCGGACGGCCGAGTAAGGCGGAATGCACCCTCCAAATCCAGAATTCCAATATAGAATTCATTTTTCAGAAATCTTTTTAGGCACAAAATCCATACCTCAAAGTAGGCGCTGAAAACGTACTTTTATTTACAGGGTCATGCTTAATTCTATAGATTTAATATTGTTTCAAATAAAAAAAAATTGTAAAAGGATTAATTAGACTCGAGTAACAAAAGCCTACGGTTGTTTTTGAAAACACTGCGCTCCATTACAGAGCCAATCCGGTGAAGTCTGAGATTGCATAACTTTTGAACTACGCACCGTTAGTAGACGAAATTTGGCTAATAAATATTTCGGTCTTCTAGATACTTATAGGTAAGGACCAATGAAGTTTACTACAGGAGAAATGAATTTAGAAGAGAAAACATCTTGCAATCTCGAAGATCAACGCTCTGTAGTCAAGTTTTTTTCCTTGAGAGCTACAGCGCTGCGGAGATTCATCGAAAACTGGTAAAGACATGAAACAAGGAAGCCTTAAACAAAACTACAGTACGTGAATAATGCAAATGCTTCAAGAATAAACATCAGAGTGTCGAAGGCCAGCCAAGAGATGATATCGGGACCCGAAGAACAAGAATGAATCACCGCAATGGAAAAAACATTTCTTCAAAACACAGCTTAGAGTCTAAGGGCTATGTTGGCTAAAGGTGGCATTTCATATAAGTCATGTTACAGAATTATAATTAAAATACTGAAAATACGAAAACGGAGTAAAACATATTTCCCTACGAATTATTCTAGGTCAGTCGTAAATGCCAATGATGTATTCCAGCTGCAATTTACGGAACTTTAATAAATCAAGGACCTGTTTTGAGCATACGGTCATCATAGACTAGGCATGTTCAATCCCTATCGCCGGCCGGGAAAAGACTAAACGAAGGAATGGCCTTGTCTTGGAGAAAAATCAAGTTTGGGCGCAGTACTGAGCAAGTTCCGACATAAAATGATGGAAGTGCTTTCGATGGACATCAGAGCCATATGCTACTATGAGATATTCGCCAAAAATAAAACATAATAGAACTTGATATATCGAATTTCTCAAAAGACCCATGAACCGTTGGCACGGCGGTCAAAAGCAGACAGCTTGGTTATTGAGTGTCAACCACATACCTCATCGCTATGCTTCAATTATTTTTTGGCAAAAGAATATCCAACGTTGGCTTTGACCCGCGTATTTTTCCGATCCAGGTGATTATAGGGCTTTCGATGCTCTAAAAAGAACAATTGGCAAGCAAATATATTCCACTACCGATTTATTTTAAACAACCCTAGACAGCAGTATTACATATGAAAAGGCTCATGGTGTGGCTGTTCCGAAGCTGCCAAAGGGCTGGAGCAAGCGTTAAAAAATAGAGAGTGCTTCTAACACATATTAAAATATCATCAATCTAAGCCAACTCATTGAAAAGTTAAAATTCGCCGTAGTAGCCTAATATGTTTTACTTCATTACACAATAGTCGATCGAATAGGTTAGAAGTCCTGTTCTGCTTGGTTACAGGTGACATGACGTTGGTAGATTCATTTAATGGAGTCCAGCTAGCTATTCAGGCAGCCATTTCGAATGCCTTTCAGACACCCGAAATTATTCGGCTTTTTACTAAGAAGCAACCACAGCAGCTCCGACTTCGGTGAGATAAGAAAAGAACTCGTTCTATAATCTCCGCCTTGTCGTGTCCATCTATAATGACTTCGCGTTTGGAACCCCATTTGTTTGCTACGGCTAAAGCACTTCACCATCAATATTTTCACTAGGGATAAAGCTGGGTTGGCGGCAAATTTAGGTTTAGACAAAAATTATGTTAGATTGTTTAGAATAAATGTGTTTTACAGGCTCTCAGAGTTGGAACGAGATATGAAGATTTTGCGATCGAGTCCAGAAATGCACACGCGTCAGAAGTTAGAAATTTTGATGGCACTACGGAAATTGGGAGAAGAGCTTTCATCTGAGGAAGCCGCCTTCGTTGAGAAACACTCAAACAGTGATATGAGACAATTCGAAAAGGTCGTGCAAATTTGCTCAATTATTAAAATTCAATATAATCGATATTTGCAACCTGCTATTTGTGTTAAGAGCATGACTATTAACGCGTTTTTCTCATATAGCGTGTTTCTTATTAATTTTAGGTTTCCGAAGACGTCACTATCTCTGAACAGAAGCTTCTCCAAATGGCCAGTAATAACTAAAACTAGTACCGCCTAAACACTGAGAAATGTGTGAATTCCAAAATGGTGTCAGTAAAAGACATGCGCATAAAACTCGGAAATATATAATTCATATTTACACATAAAAGTTACGTGAGGCTTATTAAGGGATATATAGTGGATCTAAATATACTGGATCTTAAAGTAACCAGATCAACTGATATACAATGGTCAATGAATAAACAAAATCTCATCACGATATTCGCTTTATTCGTCTCTGTTGGTGGTGTTGTTGGTGTGGTTGTTGTTGTCGTTCCCGTTACAGTTTCTGCACGTCTCTTACCAATACAAGATGTATAGAACCTCAGAAACAGGCTTATTGTCACCTTCTCACCTTCTCGACTTCTTCACCTACATTATTGAAATTAGCCTTTATTATTATTATTAATTAGTTATAATAAATGATTTCTGTAGCGTCTCCTTCACACATCAGCCAACATTCATTATCATTGTAGTAATAATAATTATTGTTTCGTTATAATCATTCTCGACAATAGCATCAATCACCTATTTACACTAATGCGGCCAGTCTCTCTAGTTGCTTTGCTCAGTTGTTGTCTCCTGGTTTTCATCATCTACTTATTATGTACCTTTGTTATTGTCTTTCAAATTATATCAAATATTATCATCATGACAAAACAGCGTTGCTACCGCGTTGTTTGCTAACCCTTTTTATCAATCTGTTTTGTGTTTTTTCAATATAACTTACTTTCTTCATCATTATTTAATTTAGCAAGGTACTTCGAATCGCTGGTTAGCCTGTTAAGCAAAACTTATGTTCTTTGTCACATCTAACCTCAAAGAAAATGTTAAAGGAATTTTTAAGCTAAAATGAAAGTTCGATGAGGTCATTGTAAACAAAAAACGCAACAAATAAAAATAAAGAGGCAGAAATACAAACAGAAATTGTCCTGCCTATCGTTTCCAGTCGATCGGTTTTTTCTTTATCGCCACGGCCGCTCAACAATGTTGCCATTCAGTTCCTTTCCCTTGCATCGCCATCATCATCACCATCGTCATCATATTGCTACGATGATTAGCAGTAACTGCAGCAGCAACAGCCGTGGCATAAACGTAACCATTACTTGGTGATTACTTCGACGGCTACCAGCCATAGAAGGCATTAAGTCCGCAGCTACATATGATTATGATGATGACAACGATTACGCATTCTAAATCGATCGATAATTTAAGGATAAGGTCTGGTTTAATTCATACATGGATAAGGCCATATTGAAAGGGACATTGTTCTTACTGAGGTTCGTAAGTTATAATCTTTCGGGTTGTTGATGCTGCTTGTGGTCTTTCTTTCTCGTTAGCACACTCTTGCTAATAATCTATTGTTTAGACGTTGTTGTTGCTGCTGTCAAAATTACCGCCATGGGCATCATCATTAGTTTGTGGTCGTATGCTTTATATATCAGTGGAGCCAAAAAAGTTGTTCCACATAGCTCTCTCAGTGTTCTCCAGCGTATGTGTCTGTGCTGGCATAACACATTTTTATTATTGTTATTACCATTATTATTACTATTATTCACTCCCAGATCTTCTGTGATAAATAAATAGTAACATTCCTTCTATCTAATCTATACTCTTTGTCCCTGGTTTTCATTCTCATCGCGCTGTCGTTTCGCGTTCTTCTCGACCGCCTTGGAAGAACCATTACCAAGTTCCTCTTCACATGACTTGTTAGGTTGTATTTCGTCACTGCAGTCCGTGTTATTTTCGTTTTACACTTAGTTCACTAGCTTTTTGAAGTTCCTCGCGTGAACTGAACTCAGCTTTCACGGTTACACATTTGTCATTGATACTGTCACTGTCGACGTGTATATCCTCAGTCAACTAACTCTATGCTGAATCAATATTGGTAGCTCCACGCTGTGATGTCAAGTAACGTTTGTTCTTAAGAATTCTTTTAGATTTTCCTTTCAACGATTATCTTTTCCTTCTGCTTGCTCCGCTTACGCGGCTTGAGGCCGCTAACTGACACCGCAACTTTTTAGATATTATTCTGAACATTAGTGTTCATCGTAGCATCACACATTCTTACGGAAAAGAAGGTTGTTTTTGTCATGTTCTTGTCATCTGGCCTTTGGTGCTACTGCTCATTGGGGGTAAACACTCTCCACATATATTTTCCACGTTACCTCTCATAGTGAATCTCCTCCTAGTGATATTAACCATGTTACATGTGGTAACCTGCTTGTGTAGGCCGATGCTCCTAACATGTTCGTATTGGCATGCTGTCACGACGACTGCTTCAAGATAACGATTCATTAGTGCTGCGTTTCTCGTAACCTCCCTTTTTAGAAACGGGAAATTAGTTATTGTTGTCAGAATATTATCATCAACATCTAGAATAGTATTTCAATTTCTATTCATTATAACCCAAAGCTATCAATCGTCAGCAACGGCGTTACTACTTATATGGTTGTAGCAGTCGCAACGGTGTGGAGAAAACTCATGTTTTAATCACCTGGAAGCAGTTAGCTATATACTAAGAACCTCTTAGTCATTTCACACTATATGTGGTCTTGGCTGTGCAAAAACCACTAGACAACTACAACTACCACCATTGTAACACACAATAGACCAAATAATAGGAAAAGACGAAAATTAGTTAAATAAAATTAGTAAATCAGGTTTATGTACTACCAGTCACCCCTCCGGTAACAACCCCATTGTTAATGCAAACGTCAGTTTACATCTTGAATCGTAGTCCCTCTGTAGTCGCGTAAATGATGTACTTTCTAAGAGCAAAATTTAGTTGCGCCATGTTCTCCGCCCCTCTCACACTCAACGCCTACCTAGGCATCCATTATTATTAATTTTCTCATGGTTCTACAAAACAGTTCATCGCCGTTTTTGTATCTACTGGTAGTGGCACACTTCCGTTACATTGCTAAGTATAGCCTTTTTACTAGATGGGGTGGGTGTGTCCTTTGCAAGCAGCCACCTTGATACGGAGCAGACGAACCGACAACAAGTGTCAAAATATAAACTGAGGAAACCATGTTTTTGTTGTGATGGGATCCACGACCGGTGGAGTCTTTCTCCTGAAATTCTGAAGTGAAATATCCCAAGTTGAAACCTTCTTCACGGGAAACACCTTACACGTAAATGTGCAAGAATCGACCAGTAGAAGAGATTTTTACCACGCCGTGAAAATATCTCTGCGGGATCCCGAGGCAGCGGAGCGCAAAGGAGTCCAATTGACGCTGCATTCCAGTCAAGGAGGCACCCGATATAATATTAATGATAAGAATATAGTGACCACGTAAGGCATCCCACAAAATCGAAAGGTGGGTCTGTCGATTTGCAACAGTTCGAGCTGTCTATACGAGTCCTCACTCTTTTTGATAATATGAGTTGTCAGCAAATCTAGTTGTGGATTTTGATGGCTTTCTCCTGATAGCTGAACTTGGGCCGCTTGGGTGTTTTGTTAATGTGGTCGAGACCAAGCCATGGCTTAGAGTTCATTGTGCCTTGTTGCCCATTCTGTGTAAGCTGTGGGATGTTGACAGTATCTCGTGCGTTTTCAATATATTGGGCGCGGCCCAACGTCACGATAGATAAACGCCATTTCTCAAATTCCTTTTCTGGTACGTCCAGTCGATTCTGAATTCGGTCCCGAACCGCCTGTGTAATGAGAACACAGAATCGTATTTAAAGATAGTTAGATCGGCTATGTTAATTTTTAATAATTTTCTGTGACATCTGGGGTTTTATTCAAAAACAAAACCGGCAAAGTCGAGATTAAACTTTCGATGATTAAAGTAGTTGCTCTCGATTGCTATTCTCCTGTTGTTTTTTTTTATTATGCTAAATTCTTCTTCTAAGAAGAAGAACCTGCCTATAGAAAAGTCATTGCTCGTTTGATTTTTTTTTAGTGGCCTGATATCTACATGGAATTTGAAAGCTGAGCTTGCCTTGAGGTAGGGAATAGGTAACGCCGTAACGGATTTTGGGATAATAATGGGTTCAATTACTACAGCAAGATAAAATACAAATGTGTGGGACACCGATTGCAATGTTACAAGATTACTAAGACACAATAGGGGATGATCTGAGCCAAAATAAAAAGTAAAAAAAAATTGAACGTTCTGAACAGAGCAATGAAATTACTAAAGTATAGCAGTCATCATTTAAATAAGACAATATAATAGCACAACAAAGGGTGGCTGGAACAATACTGTTTACTAAAATGGCGTGATGGCAGAAATATAATGACAGAGCTGTAATAAAACCATAGAATAACTGCAACGGTGGTAAGGCTATAGTGACGAAACAAGGTAATAGATCAACTATAACGATTCTGAAATGAGTACTCTTACCCAGGCTAAATAGTTCTGACCCAGTTCAGGTCAGAATTGAAAGTGTGGATAGTGTGACGTTGCGTATGGTGTGTACATTAAGTGCGGATCACGTGTTCAAGGTTGATAGCCCTTGGTTTTCACAGGAAAAAGCGCGTGCACGTGATGCCACCTGTTGTGTGCACGTATGTGTGTAGTAACATATCTAGGTTATATATACAAAGAGCTAGGCTATATATATACAAAGAAATAATTAACTATCGAAAATCGGTTCAAATAATAGTTTAAGCAATAATTATGGGCGAGAAAGGCATCATTTCATTGCATTTTAAATAAAATAAGTAAAAAATTAAATAATTTTTTACTGAACTAAAAATCTATAAGAAACAAATACTATTTAATGCAATTTACACACCTGGAAAGGTTCACCGTGGTGAATTTTGAGCAGGAAAGGTGTTCCAAAGGTAGTAAATATCTCCTTCTGGTAATGGCAGCATGCGATGAGCATTGAATGATCGCTGTCTGGCCCTGTTCCGTTCTCATCACTTTGCTCCTTAGGGATTTCCTCCACCCGGTAAGTTTTATTGCTTACGTTTAATGACTCTAGGCTCGTCGTTTCAGACTGGATGGCAACAATCTTGTAAGAAACAATTTCTAACAGACGCAACTTTCCGGTTCCGTGCTCGGCATCCAGATCAGACGGTTGTAGGGCATTTCGCGCTTCAAGAAGCAGATCGCCAACGGTTCCGTTTTTGTTGGGATAGAGAGTCAGTTCACGTTCTTCTTTGAGCTTATAACCGACCCATAACACCTTAAACTGTCGCTTTGATTCAAGCTCGTCAATTGGGATGGACAAGCGCTGGTAGTGCATTTTCCGCTGCTGTTTGCCCTTAAAGACCGCTAGCATATCCTTGAGCGTGCCGTCAAAGCTAAAGCGTAGCGGATTTCCTGGTCCGTCACGATATGACTGCGTCTTGAAGAACTGCAGCAGCTTTGGGTGGGTGTCAAGGTGTCGAGCGACTGCGGCTGCAATCTCCTCGTAGTTCATCTTAAGCGACAATTCGAGCACAAAGCCAGGATCATTGGGGTCACACTTATCACAGAACAGCACTTCGACCCGATTCTGCAAATACCTGAAGTACTCCCGAACGTTAGGTAGCTCCAGTTTAGCAGCCTCATTTTGAGGCAAATACTTCTGGAAGCAGATTATATCCCCGTCCATTAGCTCGTCAAGCAATTTGTCGAGCGGGTCGTCGAGCTCCGTGATGGGTTCTAGTAGCGTGGGCTTCACTTCTTCAAAGACCAACAAAGGTGTGTTCTGCGGGAATCCTGCCCGCTTATTTAATTCCGCCATCAACCCACGAAGCTTAGTCTGCATCGGGATATACTGATGGCCAATGTAGCTTAATTTTTTCTCAAAGGGATCATAAAGTTTAAAGAAAATGAGCACATCTGACTCGCGGTCGAAAAACGGCAAACTAGCCCGATCGCTATCATCGGGATTTACGGTTTCAACGAAAATCGTCCACGACCCGGCTTGATCCGAAAGATCTTGCACATGACGAGACATATCTGCCTCGTCTATTACATTCGGTCGGAACGTTTGATTGGTACGTAAGGCCATGTGCCACGGTCTAATTGCAGTGACAGGGAAACCGAGCTGAGCAGCAATCAGTTCCATGAGCTCACTTAGGGTGGCTGTCTTGCGTACTTTAAAAGTACGATAGTTGCACTTGTCGGGATCAATAAGGTCTGTTCCTTGATGAAGGTAGAAATGTTCTTCCAGAATCACTTGCACCTAGGAACAAAGGAAAGTATTCAACAGAGTATCACGACAACATTAGTATCAATGGAGTCAATTAAGTATTTTACTGCATACTGGTTATTTTACTGCAAAAACGAAATGTTTTGAGTCATTTGAAAACACTGACAGGATATCACCGGTAACCACACCAAACCAATGCGTTCTTATACTGACGTTTTTGTACTGCTCAATTACACGTTTTAGATTTTCACTGTGTACGATTGCTCTTACGACGATAAAATAAAACACAGAAATAAAGCTATGTTAATAATTATAGAGTTCCATGTAGTTGCTAACCTGAATGTGTTTCAGTACTATTATCTTTTAATATCATTTACTAATGCCAGGATTGTCTGACTTATATGGGGTCTGTTTTTGTAATAGGTGGAATGTGAAGAATTGTCCGTTATTAGTGAAGAATGTATGTAAAGCTATAGCTGCTGACGTAAATTTCTTTATTGGAAATATGTGTCCAAGTTTCTTCTCCTGAACAAGGATCCTCTTTCTTATAGGAAAATCCGCGTACAAAAAGTAGATCTTGGTACCGATTGAAGGCGACTTCAAATAATTCTCATTCCTTTAGCTAAATTTACGTTCTTACGCTGAAAAGCTGCGCAAAAGCTGCAGCAGCAGCACTTCGCCTTTAACACCGACAACGTTTAGAGATTTTATTTTAGAGAATTTAGTGCCGCAGCTAGAGCATTGTCTTTGTATAGCATCATTATTTCCCCATATATATATATATATATATATATGGGGAAATAATGCACAGTAGTGGACGCTATCGACAGGGATCCTGGGAATCAAAGGATCGAGATGAGCTAGCCTTTTCTACTAATCTTCTGAGAAATTGGTTTTTCTCACCAAATGGTATTTATTTTCGTATGTAAGTCTAGAGGTAAAGGAGTTTGTTCATGCCACCAACCGAAAGCAGCCATTATGCAACATGATGACGATGGCCAGCGGCCATATATAAATGATGGAAAAGTTCTGTGCAGCTGCACAGAAATGTACAGCTCAAACCAAAGAAGAATTCGCCAAACGGGCCGACCCCAATACAGATATCAATAAGGTTAATATAAAAGTAACGAGCGTTTAATGTTCCTTCTACCTCTCTAATATTAGTTTAGTTCTTTACATTACTCAAAATCGCGCTTTTCTACAAACTCGTTGCAATTTTATTATGCAGTGAACGGACTTATACATCAATTTTAGCCTCTATAGATGTAGGATTCAGACATCTTAAATGCCGTTTGCTGAGGAAAAAGCTGTTAAAGCAATCACCTGGGATACTTGTTGCAACGAGGTTTCAGTCACCGAACGGCTACTTGGAGTTTGCTATGTTCAAAGGTGGATTCCCAGGCCTCGAGAACATACTTCGCCTATCCAAAATCGATAGCACCTCGTATAGGAAATGGCCAAGAAAATAATGTGCGGGCAGTTAAGCATTTTGGATGAATAAAATTGTCTCAAAACTTAGCCATGTATGTAATGTACTGAATGAAGCGTACAAGAAAGTACAGCTTCACATTAACCGTACACTTCTCACTTGGCACACCAGACCATAGACTTCTATGTAGTGTACACGAAGCAAAGAAAAGAATGGGCAGCTCTGCAACATTGGTCTAAGCTCCGAGCTAAATCGAATTTCCACCCCCAAAAAGACAATAATTTGCTTTTAGTAGAATTAAAAGGGTCTTATCTTTTTAAAAGTGTTTGAGAAAATCAAACAGTAAGGGTCTGTATATGGCTTAGCTAAATCGATTAAACGAAGCCAACAGAACAGACCCAATAGAGGAGGCAAAATCATCTTCCTTCACGATCATACCAGGCTTCACACGACAAAGACTTTTGAAAGCCGTCCTAGAAAAGCCTGAGTGGAAGATAAATCTTTTGCATCTATTATATTCATTAAATCTCTAAAATTGATTGAAACTAACAAACGGCCATTACTTCTGCACCAATTTAAATCTTTCCTTATATATAGATTACTTGGGGCTCAAAAGCCTTACCAATGATAAGCATTTAAATAGCAGTAAATCAGTAGACCACATTGTACTTTTAGCCTAGCTTTTATTGCTTATTATGCGCACAACTTCTCAATTCAGGTCCTCTAGGAAATTCTAAACTGTCGCATATTATTTGATGAAAAATCCTACTAGATTTTACCAACGTTTTTTCAAACTGCCACTGTCCTTAACTTTTTAATCTCTTATGGGTGATCTGAAATCTGAGGTAATTCTCATATTCTATTACCCCAATATGTCGATTGGTTGTTCACCAAGCAAAGATGAAGGGATAAGGCAGTTACATTGCTTAAGCAATTATGTTGTAAGGCCCCGATTACATTGGACAGCTATAGGCGCGTCTAGTCATAATTTAGTATGGCAAAATAATCAAAACATGTGATTAATACATTTAACCAAAAATATGTGATCGGAATGAGTCAATACTCTAAAAACCTACCTTTAAAAACGCAGAGCCAATAAAGTATCTATTAGTACTAATGGATTCCACACACTGCTGGTTGAACCGTAACATGTGATTGCGCAAAGCAAACGCAAAAACAACACACAGATACGGGGAAAGTTGGCCAGATAGTTACAGTGAAAAGCATACGGTACCTCATATTTCGGCAGACTATCATTGTCACTTTACACATCTGATTGTGGAAGCGTTTTTTCTGCAAATAAAAAACGCTTGTGCTCTCTAATAGCTCTTACCTGCATATAAAGGTGAGCCTCATTCCGTTCTTTCCGTCGTTGTGCTTCCACTTGCTTCTCTTCTTGGAGACGTTCCATCAGCTGCTCAGGGATATCCTCTTTCTCTACCTAAGAAGTAGTGGGTGCAGTATTCACGCAATGTCAACGTTATAAATATAATAGAAAAAAATATTTGATTGTTTTTTAAATTCTATAGATAGAACAGAAAATGGCATTAGTTTTCTACTAAAAGTATACATACTTTTCTACTTTTCTATTAACACTAATTTTACTATATAATAATAAAGCCACTAAAAAAGAACAAAACTTCAGACAGGTTACATAGTAACTGTTTTAGCTTTTAGTAAACTAAAACAGTTACTATGTAACCTCTGTCGTTCATGTACGTTATATCTAACGAAGAGGACAGAATTGACTAGATTGTTGATTATCTGTACAGCTTAGCAGATTCAAAGTACCTTTTGTAAAACGTCCGGGAGGGCCGAATCACGAATGTAAACAAGCATATAGGCATTCGTGCAATGGCGGCTTATGGCAACTTCGTCATCGGAGCCTGCTCCAAAATTGTGCTCGATCGCCTCCTGTTTGGTGCAACGCGAGACAACATCGTCATCAAACTTGCACCACTTTCCATCTCCTTTCGGATTAATAAATACCACATAGTGTCCACCATGGTTATCACCAGAGTGTACAAGAACAGCATGGAGCGTGTAGTGGGCAGGAGTAGCTTCCTTTTGCTCTAGAAATTCATCCAAATCAAGTTTTTCAGAAAACTCAAACCTGAAATACACGATAAAAGAACGCATTACAATACCATGGATAACATCACAAAGCATAGTGTAATGGGAACATTTTTCGAAAACGCCATAATGGTTAATAACAGTAATAATAATCACTGATGTTGCTTGCATAATCAGTTTGACCACCTACTGAAAAGCATCAAGTGATGATCAAGACCCCCGTGCGATAATTGGCGTTACTCTGCGCTAGTCACCCTTCAACCACCTCATTCAAGTTCGTTATTCTATGCGTGCTAAATGCATGTTAAATGTATGCGAACTAAAAACGGGAAAAAAACGAAGGTATATTGTGCAATACATTGGCAAAATAACCACCTGTCTTACTTTATATAATATGAGCTTAAATACAACGATGTTCATAGTGAAAAAAAAACTATTCTGTCAACAGAAGGGGTGACGGAACTCGAGACTCACGTTTCAAAAAAAGCCCACTTTATTCTACCCCTTCATGGTTCGATGACGGCTGCTAGCCTAACATTTTATAAAACCACATACCAGTATTTGCAATCGTACCAGTTCTACGTAGGATTAACTCGGTTAGAGTCGTAACACTACCCTTCAACAAAAATCAGTCGAACTGTAACGTACATGTTTAAAACCACGAAAAATGTAATAGTAAGTGTAACAGACGTTACACTGAATATTGTGGGCACTTTGTTATAGTAAATATACTAATGCTGTTAATGCTCACTAGTAAGTCCTCCATAAAACCTTGTGTTTACATTTTTGGAAAAAATCAGTTCTTTTATAAACCAAGTCATACTTATACCTTGATTTATCCACTTATTATTGTTTAGTAATGCACACACCACTGTACCATGTTGAAGCCCTACAATATTTTATCTAAAGAAGGAACTATCACTAACGTTAATGAATCTTAAACATGAACTAGTAACTTGGTTTTCCTATTCTTCGGCTTAATATGCTAAACATCAGTCGGTGAAGTCAAATTTGTTATGTACATATTTATGAATGATTAAATGTTCCGTGGCGTCTTTGCAAAAATACCAATTGATGGACATACTGTTAATTTACAAGCATGAAGAGGCAAGGTAGTGGTACTGTATTACTTGCAAACGTTACCAACCATAAACATCGACGAATAATAGCCTTTTAATTCTTAGAAGATACGTAAAGGTAACTTCGTACGAATAATAGCCTATTAATTCTTAGAAGATACGTAAAGGTAACTTCGTTAAGGATGTCTTATTTATCAGATGTATTTACAATACAATAAGCCTTACGTCCCCGAATTAGTTATCGTACGGAAGGAATCTATTTACGAAAGAAAATTAGTCGGGGATAGAGTATTATATCTCACTTATGTTATCAACGTATCGCATATATGAATAAATCTTTCGAATCAACCTATTCGATAGATTTCGAAGCCTTTTTGTTAGATCTCTCAGTATCAATCATATTTTAAAAGTTGACTTATACAATAAATAAATTAAAATTTTTTTTAATTATTGTATAAATCAACTACTTCCAAGCGTCCACCTTTGTTCATCATGTAATCAAATGTGTTTTGTTCGGAATTGTTAAGTTTTGCAACAATGGCATGTTGTTATCTGTGTACGGGCTGACTTGCTCTGGTGTCTGGTTCAATGGAGAATCGTGTCCTGTCAGTGGTCCAAATGGATGAATAAATAACTTGCGACTGTGACACTGCGGAACTGCTTGCCTCACTACAATTTCACTATAAATATGCGGTTTTTACAAGTACTCCTCTGATTTAATAATTCTGAGGCCTTGGTGGCGCATATAGACCCAGTGAGGGGAAAAACAGTGTTTCGGCGGGGATTCGCCGGTTAATCTGAAGTAATACAACCGTAGTAATAAAAAGTCACTTTCCATTAAAAATATTAACGCAGTTGACCTGCAGTAGCACTTACCTGTCATTGATCTTGATATTGGAATCTGTGGCTGGATCGTATTGGAAACGTAGAAGGTGAAGATGTAGAACGGGTGGAAAAGATTTAAAGATGATACCTTTTTCAGCCGCTTGTAACCCGTGTGTGCCCGCATCGTACTTATTCTCACCGTCCAGCGTCTCCTTGGCGCAATAGTCTTTAAACGAATCGACAATATCTTTTTTGCCCTTGACGTTCAACTGGATATCGTAAAAGGGTTCAATGCGCTTCGACTGGTAGGTTACATTTTTGCAGGCGATATACGAAATCATTTTACCTTCGAAGAGCTTCGGTATTGTACCCTCGACACAGGTCGCCTTCATTTTCGACTCCATGTTGTCGAGAAGGACACGACAGAGCTCCTGAACGTCGTGCTGCATGAACGAGTCGAGAGTCTCCCATCCAAAGCTCTTGGTGAGCTTTTTTGTTCCGACGGGCTTGTCGCTGAATTGCAGCTCATGAAAGACCCTTTGCAGGGCCAAGGCAACCGACTTCGATGAATCGTCGCTTTCGGTCGGCATCTGATACACTGCCTTCCTCAGCTTGTTTGTAAAATAGAGGGTTTGCAGTAATGAGTTCATGTAGCATGTTGCACCTTGGTTCTTCAAACCAACGAAACCTGTGTGCTTCTTGCTATCCCAACTGACCCCATGTGGAGCCTCGGCCATAACCCAAACTTCGCATATGATCGTGTCATCCTTACAGTAACCTTTCTCCGGATCCATAACGTCGTTCCATGTCATGAAATGCGAATATCCCCAGTCGTTCTCCTTGTTGTAGAAGACGTGTGTGATCTTACGTACAGAGTTTTCGACGCCGTCTTTCTGAGCAATAAGGCGCAGCTCAGCTTGAGCCGAACAGCTCCACGACGACGACTCGGATTCGCCGTTGCATTGTAAAAAGAATCCGAGACTCTTTGAGGGCGGACGCTCATTTGAGTTTGCATTATGCCGCGGCATCACCATGATCTTCCACGGCAGGTTCCTTACGAATGTCGGTGGTGAAAGCCTTGTGTCCTTTAATCGACTTATTTGATCAACTTCGAAGCGGAATGTAGCTTCCGCCCTCGCTTCATCATCCTGCTCATCCTGGCCAGTGGCTCCAGTGGCAGTCCCTTGAGCAGCTGTATCAACAACAGTCTCATCCTGATTCATAGCCTCCCCTTCACTGAGGTATCGCACCGCACCCACAGGTATATCCTCGAGTGTGTCCATTTCCTCGTCACCGGCCCCTGACTTATTTTTAATGTTGTTGCACATAAGCATTTCTTCCTTTTTATCCGCCAGCTCGACGCTTGAGACTCGTCCCACTGAATGGGAATCCTTGTGTTTTGACACTAATACCCCGTCAGCTTTGTCCTCGCTGACCGTTTCCTTTTTTGTGTCAGAATGACTATGATTGTGGTGGTATTTATCGAAAGGATCACGAATCAGCTGTTTGTCGGAAATCTCGCTTAAGGAAATTTCGTGCCTAGTTTGAGTATAACCACTGTGCTGCCTATGAACGTGTTCGGCACCGTTGGTCTCCTTCTCGTCCTTATGTTGTGGCTGCTGTTCCTTGGCCTTCTCCTTTGAGTGGTTTTTGCTTTGTTTTGTGTTGTTGGTGTTATCGTCGCCGTGTACAACGTTGCTAGGGTTCGTCTTTCCCGACTCACTTCGTTTAGCGGCTTTATGTTGTTTCTTGTTCACTTTACTGATATTTTTCGTATCGCTGCTTACAAGTAGATAATGGTGATCCTTGGTATGATCTTTTGAATTTCGATGAAACAACTCTTGTGTTTGCCGGCAGTTGTTACTACCAGTCGTTGTTGTCGTTGTTGATGTTATTGTACCACCGGATTGAGCCTGTGTTTTTCCGTCACCGGCGTGCACGTCGTTAGTAAGAGGAGCCTTTCTGGCCTCGGTCTTGGTATTGTCCCCCTTAATCGGGGCTGCCCTGGGGTGGTCGTGCTTGGCGGCCTTGAGCTGTTGGTCCTTATTAGCACCTTTTGCTCCCGGCTGCTGCTGGTGGAGGGCTCCCCCCGCGTGGGCGTGCCTGCTCGCGATTCGCCCAATGTTGCTCCCCGGGTGTCCCACCGGCGTCCCTCTGCTGGGCCGTGGGGGGTGCGCGCCCAACCGCGCACTCGGCTACAAGAACCGACTGTCTCACCGTCCTCCGACAGGCCCCGCATGCGCCTGGCGCGGCGACTAACTGGCACCCAGCGGCCGCACTCGATAGCACCGGCCACGGCACCACCACAACAATCCTCACTACTCAGATCCACTCAAACCCCTTCACGAGACACTAACTTGCTCGCGAGCAGCAGCCGACAAACGATAACGGCCTGCAAAAACAGGAGCCCTTTGCAAAAGCTTGCTTACTTCTACTATTACCAGTACAAGTACACTCGTTGGTTTGTTCGCTGGTTCGTCACTCGCCCAACGGGCTCCTACTGCAACTGGAGCCGCTGGGCGCATTAAACAATCCGCCACCGGCCGTAAGCAACGATACCTAAAGCGTCCAACGATGGGTTGACACTAAAATGTGTTGTTCAAGTAAATGCTCAAATCAAAATCCAAGCTGGGTTGACTGACCGTCGTCTCACCACTGCCAATGCTTGCTGATCACCAATGGAAGTTAAGCCGCAACACCACACAGCAGCATAAGCTCAATTCACCACCACCAACTGCAGCGATCCAGCCGAATAACAAAACTATGACCGCGGTATAAAACAACCCTGATCGGATGCCACCAGACATTGTCTGACGTCACGACTAGTGTTGACGAGTTATCGCGCTATTCGTGAGTTCAATTCACTACTATTTACCTCGTAATAGGCGAAGCTCAAGTGTGAAGAGAGAAAAATATGTGAAATATAAGTGTTCATGTAATATGGATAATTTGAAGTTGGTTTTTGGGGTAGATGGCGACAGCAGACAGCTATCGGCCATTTTTGTCGTAGAGCTGGATTTTACTGTGCCGCGAGTCGCACCGGGTTGCCGGAGCGCTGGATAGGACATCAAGGCCACATAGTGGCGCTTGGCTTTAAATTGCTGTCAAATATGATCCAATAACAACTGCACCACCTGCGGATTTAGGTTCCAGAGATCCCAGTAGGCATGATAACAACGATCTTGTCTAGATAAGGTATACAGTTTAATTAAATGGGCATGGTTTATGCTTCCGTCTATAACAGAACGCGCTATACGTACCACTTGAAAATTATTTGGGAATAATAACAATCACTTTATAGAGTACACAGGATAATATATTAATTATTAGCTAAGACCAAATGACATTTTCACATAATCTACGAGGTGGACAGGGAAATCTTGCCTCTTTAAAAATTAACCAAACCTATTTTTTGCGCCATGATTGTTTTTCTAGCCTTTTACAAATCCTTGGCTTGATGCTATTTCTCTTCTCAAGTCACTGGAAATAAAACGTATTGAAAACAGAATTTATTTTGGGTTCTTATAAATGTAGACGATACACTGTAGATCCGCTTGGGTGATATAATTCAGGAGCCCATTTAAAAAGTTTATTAAGCGTTGTCTGGAGATTCCAAATTTTTTAAACAGTTATTAGTATTACAGGCTACGTAGTATTGATCGCTAATACTGTGTTTACGCAGTACTGAACTTATCCATGCTGGGCATATTCATTCAACAATTCATTAAACTTGCCTATGGTGAACACACGGAGAGCATTATATGCTTAATTAAGAATCCTTTTACGAATATTGGGTTTGATAATGTCTCTAGGCACTAAAGCACTGAGAATGGGTGTAACTGCAAATTTTTTTTCTAACCGTAAGTATATTTTTATTTCATTCGTTTTGCATTAAGCTATTAATTTAACTAATGTGTGCTTAATGCAGGTAATTGGAAAAACAGCTATCAAATATTAAAACTATATTAGTAAGAGCAGACTGCAAAGCTCTAGCAATTGGTATTTCTACTTTACCTTAGGACATAAATTATAAATTCAGTTATCTGAAAATCCACTTTATTATGATTAGTTACTAACGTTTTACTGTTTTGATTTTCCAGGTTGCTTTATAATAAAATTATTCAAGTAAAGGTCTATACCAAACATAAAGTAACGTAAAAGAAGGCATGTTCTAGTAATCATAGTTTTTTGAAACAAAAAAAGTGAGCAAATGTATTGATAGACGATTCATTTAGTTCATGTTCTGATTTTAGAAACGGTAGTCGCGCAAATTTTATTCCAAATAAAATGCTTCGAGTTCAACGTTCTATACTGCCGCTTGATATTGCTTCAGACGAATGGGATTTTCCAATATAAAATGAAGTGTGTTTACGCATAAGCTCAACCATACTATACCTATCGTTCGATCTATGCTATCTGGCCGGTTTTTAAGTTTGGTAGGCAAACACCTCACCATAAAACCATCACGGGGACATTACTAATCTTCATTTAGCTTAGATACTGCTTCAGCAAATACTTTGTCTCAAACCAAACGTTACTGATCCAAGGCTAAAAATGCAAGATTTCGGCCCCGTTTGCTTCTAGGCTCATTAACCAGCAGTTCTAAATCTGATGGATTCATAAGCATAAGTATAAAATATAATGAGCCTCTTTTAGACGCTTTTTAACCCAGTAATAAGTACCTAAGAGCTTGATTTCTTAATATATTATTAGCGCCTGAAGATATAGCTTTTGCCCATAGCATCTTCAACTAATCTTGGCGATTCGAGCGATCATGTTTACATGCAACTTCCTGGCCGTGGATTTTCTTAGCGATCCTTCCATTTGTGTACATCGTACTGTACAGCTGTAACATCTACTAAACAGAGGCTTTTTATAACCTATAGATGTCTAAAAAAATAAAATTTTTAAGTTTAGCGGAAATTCAAGAAGTACTGTTGATAATAATTTACTTCACTCATTTGGCATTTTTATGAAATTCTATTTTTAGCTTTTTGTCTTGTTTTTTTCTGTTGAGGAAATGACAAGAACTATGGAATCCATTTTCATTGCTGAGAGACGTAGCTAATGCAGCATAGTACTCGCAAACTCAGTCAAGCAACACTGTTCTCCCAATTTTTATTCAGCAACTGAAATTAAGCCACCTATGCCCTAAAAAGCAGATACTTGCAAAAAGACTCTTTCAATGCACTTCGAATGGCCTTGAACCTGTTTCTTTTCCGATTTGCAAATGATGGTACACAACCTATCCAATACATTAAAAATATTAAGTTCATTCACATGGTTTTTGTTATGAACGAATTACTGTATTCTTTATTTCCATACTTTTCACTGCCTTTCTTTAAATATTATACTACTATATAATATAGCACCATATTTTTAGTAGGCAGTTAATTAACAATTACTATATTATTATTAGTTGACTGTTTTTACATGTTCTTTTATTAGCTAGATTTTTTCACACAGATTGATCTTCATTGTTTCGGCACTGTGCTCGAAGTTGTCTTTTCAGTTATATCTCATGTACCTTAACCCACGTGATTTACATAATCAGATCAAATTAAATATAAATACATTATTGTCAACAAAGAATATTGTTCGAAACACAGACGACGCCTAATTAAAGGCATGCGGCACCCCATAACTCAAAAGACAAAAATAATTTTAACGAAAGCATATAACAAAAAAAAAGAATAAAATAGGAGGATTATTTTTATCTAGAATAATACAAATCCTGTCGTGGAACAAGCGATTGCATGAGTATTTAGCCAAATTATTCAAGTATGACTTCGCACAGGTTATGTAGTAATAGTCTGATAAATGTATAGGGTTACCACTGGGGAAAAGGGTAACAATAATGAAAATGCAGAAAATTTACATTGAGAAAGTTGCACTTGATGATTATACGATGTCGTTAAAATTATATTACTAGACGTTTGGTGAAAATTTTCACAGCGAGGTTCCCGTAAGCCGTCGGAAACAATGGCAAGATCAAAAAAGGCCGTCTCTGAGCGAATTAACTGTGTCGGTTATTAAATTCTTTTTCCCATTCTGATAGCTATGGCTAATACTGACACACACGAGTGGGTCGCTGTGTCGGAGCAGCAGTGGTCGAAGGAGTAATAGGTAAAGAGCCCTGTGGCCTAGACAAAGAAATGGAAAAGGAGAAGAGATGATTGTTGATTACGAGGTAAATAAATGCGCATTCGCTTGGTAGCAGCTTCATTGAGCACTAGCGTAGCTTTATCTATAAATTAGGAATTGTGAACTGAGTCAGGAAATCAGTGTTTTTACTTTATCCTGCTACCGCCCCCGATACATGCTGTTTTCAGATTTAGTAAAAAAGCACTACTATTTCGCTTGCGCATTATAAATTAAAACGATGACTTGCGCTATTTTGAGTGATCCGCGTTAAACCCATAAATGCAAGGAACTTATATGAGAAGCCTACGTCAGTTTACCAGTTGACTTCAACCCTTATACGTAGAAAATGCCATCTAGCAAATCCATACCCAAAGTACACGCCTGGGAATTCAGCAACCACCTTATCATCTAACCGTTGTGATGGACATATCGAATCGACGCCAATAACGTAGAATAAACTTATGTAATTCTAGAATTTTGGTCATAATGAAATCACTTTTAATCCATTTTTCAAAGATTTAAAAGCGAATCTCATGCAAAGTCAATAACCACGTTTTTCAACGTAGTTATGAAATTAGAACAAAGCGCGCGGTTTTCAAGCGGTAGACAATTTGTTACCTTGTATCGAAGCATTTATCATATTTGTCGATTATTCATCATGTACAAAAGTGATCCTAATTTCGTCCTTGGTTTTTTCGGGTATAAAATTTCACTTAACCTTGAAATATATGTATTCAATCACGAAACAACAA